TTTTGGGCAAACTAACACATTGACAATAAATAATGATTCATACAATATCGCATTTTAGGATTGAGCTAATAAATAAGCGCAAAAATGAAGACTACAGGGGAAACATGGCAGTAATCTCCAGGGGGTTTTTTTCTTCAAGTTTCACTCTTTACTGTCATGATCTCTAAACTGTTTTGTTCCATTCTATTCATCAAAACAAATTTTATCAAAAAGCGTTGTAGTCATACACGTAGTGACACATTTACTCTTTTAAACCATCCGTACAGAAAACGAACCGCAGTACATGTAGTATTATATCGATAAAACCTCGAAAAGAATAGGTACTAATCTAAAGTTTGCTGTCATTTACAACTTCCCTATTCCCCTCGTAGTCTTCTATATACCGGTACTTATATGTATTATATATACAAGACTAGACCTTTACTTGCCACTATCATAGGTGAGGCATCATGGTGAAATCAGGCGCTTGTCAAAATAATGAAATAAAAGAAACTGGCATTTTCCAAGCAGTTTGGCAATATTTGTAGAATTTTTGTTTTTTGGCTCAGCACCTTTTATGTCCATATTTATAAAAATACATTTCCATTTTAAGTTAACTGAAAAACGTTGATAAATGGCACAAAATATGTCAATTTTCAGTTTTCATGGACTCTCAAGCTACAGAAGTTACCAAACTTTGGCGGCCATTTTCTCGCAAATTTTACCCCAGAAAACAGGTTACCCCCACCTCCTTCAATCGCAAATATCTCGACTTCTATTCAAGATTGTTGGGTATTTTTCGGCACCGAAAGAAAGACAAATAAACAAGCTTTAAGATTATACGAATAACTCCATATATGCCAAAAAATTGACAAGCACCTGATTCCACTTCGTCGTGTTTTCCTAAATTAAAGGTTGCAACCATCAAACATGTCAAAACAATTAAATACTTTATATCTGCCTACATATATTCAAACTAGGATTTAAACTGATTACATTATTTTAATAATTAGTTCTTGTTTGCATAAGTCACATGAGCAGCTGCTCCATTCTCTGAGACAGAAGACAAACATGTTTTTTTGTTCACAAGTTCCATTTCATACTCTCTCTCTCTCTCTCTCTCTCTCTCTCTCTCTCTCTCTCTCTCTCTCTCTCTCTCTCTCTCTATCTCTTGGCTGTCTCTCTCTCTCTGTTTCTCTCGGTCCCCCTTTTCTCTCTCGGTCTCTCTCTATCTATCTCTTTCGACCCCCCCCCCTCTGTCTTTA